TTGTATAGAATTATATTTAACTAAAGCTCAGCGTAAATATGCAGAAGCATGACAATACATTAATAATAAAATGTGTAAATATTTCTGTAAAAGAACATAATTTTACTTTACCAGTATACTTCACTTAGAATTACATTTGAGCGCAAGAAAATCTCTATGTGAATTGGCTCGGGGTCGAAGTTCAACATTTCAATGGAAATTTTTGCGTGTACTTGCGTTGCTTTAGATCGAGGCCACAGCTTTCAACCAATCGGGGAATGTTTACTTGGGGCATACATCTATTTTTACTGCAGGTTTCGACATGTTTAAATCGGGATTATAGAAAAATGGAATGTTGTTGGTAGATACAGAACAGAAAATGATGAACACTTTTAGCAAAAGATAAATTGGATCGGGGATCTGTGAATTCACATTATTTGTACAACTCTCCTTACTCTTGGGAAGCGTGTGCTTTACATCGAGGCTTGCGTTGCTTTACATCGACGCCATAGTAGTTCAACCAATCGGGGAATGTTTATTTGGGGCATACATCTATTTTTACTGCAGGTTTTGGCATATTTTAATCGAAATTAGAGAAAAATGGAATGATGTTAGGAGATATAAAACAGAAAATGATAAATATTTTTAGCAAAAGATGAATTGGATCGGGGTTCTGTGTATTCACATTATTTGTACAACTCTCCTTACTGATGGCAAAAAATGGAATTTCCGTGACCTAAATGGTTCGCGAAAATTAATATTTTTATATATATATAGTAAATAGATATTTAAATTTGAAGTATCAATTAAATTATTTGAAGTTAATCATGATAATTTGAAAAATAATTTCTCTAACAAATTCAACAAATGGTTGATAATTGCATTTTCGATGGTTTTAAACAGCTAACGGGTAACAAATGACGAATGCCGAGGCAATTAAAACAAGAACTTTATAAGACATTCTTTTATCTAATAACTTTAAAATATGTAAATTTTCAAGTATAATTTAGCAGTAATATAGTTTCGCGAAAAGAAGGTAATCAAAGTCAATTTGAAATGATTTTTTTTAATTCTACATACAATGGCTTAAATCGAAACTTTAAATAGACACAAGTAAGAAATGTCACAAAGACTCTTAATCCAACAATTAAATTTATAGACCGGAAAATTTCATATAATGTCGGTCATTATTTTTATATTACAAAATTAAAGTATTTGTAAGCGGCTTACTTGAAATCATAGGTATACAAAGCTGTGTCACTGAAATGTAATTAAGTCTAATTTTCAACCAAATTGTATAAGATCTTTCATTTGGTACAGTTTATCATCAGTTTACACGTAACAAAAAACCTGTGAGACGCAGCATTTAAAAATACATGAATTTCGTTTGAACTACAGGTAAACTACTTGAAGGGATGAAAATTATGTTACAAACAGTTGAGTCGTTTCTTCTTTTATTTACAGACTCGTAATAACCACTTTAACATTCGTCCTATTTCGCAATTTTCATCACGATTAAAACTTTTACATTTGTTAAGGTTAACTGTAAACCGCCATCTTGGATTGTAAAATGGAGGTACACAATTGGTCTAATCATTTGCTTAAATCTGCAAGTTTTGAGACAGATTGGCAATTTAAAATGTGTGAGACTGTTTAAATAAATGAAAAAAAATCAGTAATTTATTGCTTTTATCAATTTTAAAGGAATGTTAATGAAATTTTCCTTCTTTACTTGTAGCAAGAAACGAAGAAGAAATTGGGCAATTTTGCTCAACTTGTAGCTTAATAAATGGCACGGTGACCAATACTTTTTATTATATTATTGAAAAAACATGGCAAAATCTACATTTAGACAAAGTATAAGAAAATTCTGTCTGAAGAAATATATAGTGATGATCCACCTTGAGTATTGTTTTCAAAGTTTTTTGTTATAATAGAAGGCAAACGCGAAATATCGGGCATATGAATTTGATTCTTGTTTTATTTCTTCTAAAATACCGCATTGTCAACTGATACATAACATGTAATTAGTATTAATGTTGCAAGAAGTAAGTGAATAGTTTTCTTCACAATCCATTGCTTTATTCTGTTTGAATGGACTTAATTTTATAAGTCTTCTTTAAATTTTATTTGTCAATTAAAGAACGTTATGTTGCGTTGTTGTTTCAAATTTTTTAGTTGATTTGTGTTTGGTCCAATGTTGTTTCAATCAGGTGCGTTCTGGAGCATCTTTGTTGATGTGTTTATGGTTCTTATTAATATTTTTATACCAGTGAAAATGAGTTTACTTCAAAAATCGAAGTATTGAAATAAACCAGTAATTTTATTCATATAAGAACGTTTAAGTATGTTGTTGTTTGAAATTGTCTTTATTTTTTTTTATATATCATAATGGTTCCTTTATTGGTAAGTTGTGTTGGATATGTTGTTGGTATTTTAGTAATTATATATCATGTCCAGAGACAATGTGCGTACATGCAATTGAAGTATAAACAAGAATGTGTCCATAGTACACAGATGCCCCTCTCACACTATCATTTTCTATGTTCAGTTGACCGTGAAATTGGGATCAAAACTCTAATTTGGCATTAAAATTAGAAAGATCATATCAAAGGGAACATATGTACTAAGTTTCAAGTTGATTGGACTTCAACTTCATCAAAAACTACCTTGACCAAAAACTTTAACCTGAAGCGGGACAGACGTACGAACGGACGCACAGACCGAAAAACATATTGCCCCTCTACTATCGTAGGTGGGACATTAAAAAAAACAAAATCTCTAACATCTTATAAAATGTAGAATTTTTTTTTACGCTAAATACTAGTTGTCGAAATTATACAGAGAGATAAAATTTATGAAATAATTATATTAAGATAAACAATTTTATTATTCTACAGTTGAAAATAACTTTACACGAAAATCTCGTTTTGACAAACGTCAATATGTGTTCTTTAAAAAATGCACAAAAAAACACGTAATCATGATTTATTGTTTATGAAAGCAGGAGCAACAAGATAATTCGAACGTCATGATATTAAATTAATGAATTGGTATTCAAAGATTAAAAAAAATGCTTGATTTAGGGTTTAACATGTATATCTAGTAGATTACCGAATAGGTAAGCTTGGATACTGTCAAGGTGAAAAATAAAGAAGTACATATAATGGAAAAGAGCCGCTGGCGAATGCACAAGCAACAGTCAAAAAGATAAAAAAAAAAGGAAAAAGAAAATATTTTTTATCGAAACAAAAAAATCATTTTGGGACATATGGTGTAGATAGTAGAAACGTGAAAGTCATTCAATATTTGTCTTGCCTTAGAGTGATTTTAGAGATTGGCTTTTTGTATATAAACCTGTCTATTGTTTAAGACCGTAATTATGTTGAATCCTAGATGTCTTTTTTGTTATGCTGGGTTGCATTGACGTATACTCCACATTTGTTTTCATTTACAATAGCACTGTAAACTGAAGCTTGGGTATAACAAACTTCAAAGAAAACCGGTATCTTTTAAAAGGCTTGTCCTGATTCGCAAGCTCTTTCCGGAATATTGCCCAGTTTTCAATATCAGTATTGAATCAATTTCGATAGAAAAACGGAAGTTTTTGTGCATTCAGCTTTAAGTGGCCCGCTCATTAAAATCTTTGTGGCGACGAAAAAGATATATGTGTTGATGAGATCACGAAATTGTGCGGGTGTTGCCTTGACTATTTACTCGTATTCTTTTAATGAAGTCGTAATACCTAGCACAAGCTCTTGCAGAATAATTACTCAAAACTGTCAAATGTATAGAAACACATTATCAAGTATACCACAGTAATAGGGAATTCAAATCAGAACGTTCATCTTTAAAGTTGTACCATGATTGGAAAATATTGAATTAATGTATTCCAGCTGTTTTTGGTATTCTGGAGATTTAATGAACTATTCTGATTTGAATAGACGCCACCAAAAAGTCATATAGCAAATGAATGATCATACATAAAAAAAAGTAATTCGCTGTGACGGACGTCCACCTTAGACTAGTGAACATCAAGACCTTGTTCACCGTTAGTATGTAACTCTCTATAACAATTATACATCTTGTCTTCAATAATCAAAGAGATATATATAAATGCATGTCGTATTATTTACACGTTTTATGAATCTTTACACTGATTCGCTTTAAAAAAAATATGTTGGCCAAAAGAAAACGGACTAGTACATTTTGGTAGGACAATTCTCAACACTGACGGTCCACTTTAAGTAGCTGTTAAATTGTGATTCGATTTTTGACAACGAACAGACCAATACGCACTTTTTAGGTCACCATTGCAAGATTATTATAATGTTTAATAATTAGCTTTAAAGCATACCTCATACGCATGTAGCAATAATTTGTATCACAGACAGACAAACAGACAGACAGACACTATCACATGAATTTAGGTAAATTCCCACTTGTTCACATGCATTGTGTATTAAACAAATATAATCATTTGGAGTAGGTACAATCCTTAATGAGTTGACATTACATCTCTTTGTATACGACATAATTTGATTATGCAATTTCTTTCTAAGTTCAATTTTCTTCAACTTGTGTGCGAAGTCTGAAAGCGAGTGGATATTTTTTTCGCAGTTTAGGTTAATGCAGATCAAATTCTGTACTGAACTAAAATCAGCTTGGTTGGTTTTCCTGTTTGAATGGTTTTACATTAGTCATTTTTCGGGCTCTTTATAGCTTGCTGTTCGGTGTGAGCCAAGGCTCCGTGTTGAAGGCCGTACTTTGACCTATAATGATTAACTTTTACAAACAAATTGTGACTTGGATGGAGAGTTGTCTCATTGGCACTCATACCACATCTTCTTATATCTGTTTAACTCAATCCAATATGAATTCACAGTAAATTTTTTTCCAAAGGTAAAACGTTAACTCAAGTCTAGGAATTTAATGTGTTGATCATGCATGTCGCTAAATCTAGTCTACAAAATTTGAGAATAAGTTAGCGGCAACTTGTCAAATGTATGGAAACAACAACAAAAAATGCGGAAAATTTATTAATGCTGGAATAAATTAAGCATGCATCATCAAAAAAGATATTTGGATTTTTTTCCTAAAGAAGAAACTACAAGGATCACAGAAACATCTTATTTCAGAATTTGTGTTTGGCAGACCTGTCGTTGTTCAGTTTTAATCTAAAAATAATAAAATAAGAAGATAACTCATGAATACCAAAAAATAGTGTTTGCTAATAATAATTTGCCATCAAACATGACGAAACTTCGATAATTAGGCTAATAAACATAAATGAAACTTCCATAATGTCGCTAGTAAACATAATGAACTTCGAAAATGTCGCTAGTAAAAAAAATGAAACTTACATTATTTTATATTCTTCAATAATGTCGCTAGTAAATATTATAAAACTTTGTCATTGTCGTTAGGGACCGTGTTATATTTATCAGGCAGGTTGGACCTGTGCAAATTCTGGTGATGACAAAAAAAAGTGATGTAAAAACTCAATGTCCTATGACTTGCATGCAGAAAAAAGGTATATGTCATTTTAACTTTATCTGAATTAATCTGGCACTAAGTGATAGGATGTCATTAGTGATGAAGTAATAGATGAAAACTGTTTTTTAATATTGTTGTTCAAGTATGTACATGATCAATAATACAACAAAAAAGACATTTAAGATTGTAAAAGTGAAATTTAAAATTGATACTATAAATCAGAACAGCACATATAAGCTAAAAATATTGATAGGATATGGAACTCCTTTTCGAGATATTTGATGTTAAAAAATGGGGAGAAAAGCTTTCTTAGACGTTTACCTTATATTTAGCATTGGCATTATTTGGGCTTCAAACCGTAAGAAAAACAAAATCTAGAATCTGCTTTAATTTTGTCAAATGACTTTTATGACTTATTGAAGTCTTCTATAAAAAGAAAAGTTTCAAATACAAATTTTGATCCTAATATATTTATTCTAATGTAGACCTTCAAAAAAATAAAAAGTATTTCTATTGTAGATGTGATGTTAAACTTGCAAAACTACAAATTGAAGAAAACATGTATTAGGTCCCTTTACAGGAACTATACTCTTTTATACATGCTAAATTTGAAGATTAGAAGAATTTGAATTTTGTAAGTGCTCCAATTATATTTGCCTCTTTTTGTTGAAATTTGTTGTCATGAATATTTGATTTCATTTGTTAATTGTGAACCTATAATGTAAAAAAACATGCAAGAACGGTTCTTACATTTTTGAAATATTAAAGTGGAAAGTTTAATAGGGTATGAAAATTACTTCTGATAAAAGATATGTATATGCTGTTCAACTTTGCCTTTTTACCTTGAAAGAGGTTTCTTCAATTTGTTCATTTAATAATTACTTGCTTTTTAATGTCCATGTTTTTTTTGTCTGTAAATTGTTAAAAATGAGTTAATTCATATGAATATGAAAATATCATGTATTTCCATGATAATATATTAAAAATGATGAATTAAGCCAAAAACTAAAAGAGCCGATATGTCATACATGAACATTAATAAGATTAGCAAATTATTATAGTATAAAATATCATTTAAGTGTGTTTCCTATTATAAAGCACATGTATACTGAGAAAACAAAAGTTTACCAACATATATTTTTAATTTAATATATTTTAACAAACAAACTATACTTTTAGATATAATAAATACATATAAGTTTACATTGTGTTTTGTTATACATTTGTACTATAAACTATTTTATTGATTGTACAAATGTTTCTTGTTCGGATATTTAGTTAATAATTTTTTGTTTGTTTGATAGCAATAGTTTGAATAAATCTTCATGTCCTATGGTCACCCAAGGTGAAAAAAGTGGAGACCCTATGCCTGAAGTTGATAAAAAATGTGTGGTCCAACTCCGCAACTCTGATTTGCACCACCGGTCCCATCTGCCTGATACGTATTGCACGGAACTGATAATGCCGCTAGTATATTTATCAAGCATTATGAAACCTTGACACAGTCGCTATTCCAGTTATCTGACATAATGAAACATTGATACAGTCGCTATTCCAGTTATCTGACATAATGAAACCTTGATACAGTCGCTATTTCAGTTATCTGACATAATGAAACCTTGAAACAGTCGCTATTTCGGTTATCTGACATAATGAATTCTTGATACAGTCGCTATTCCAGTTATCTGACATAATGAATTCTTGATACAGATGCTATTCCAGTTATCTGACATACTGAAACCTTGATAATGTCGCCAGACTATGAACCGTTATTTAATTTCAATGATATAGCGTTGATACTAAGCGATATGAAATTCTCACTCTTTATGACACCTATAATATGTGTGGTTCCTTGTCTAGCGACATTTTCATGTTTTATTATGTTTACTTCCGACTGTATTAAAGTTTGATGGCGAAAAATCAAAAATAATAATATATGAAAATGATAACGGACCGAAATAATATATAGTCATATAGTCCACTGAAAGGAATATCACATCTGACAAGAGTCGCGATTAAGAATAAATTTTTAGTAGACATTACAAAGAATTAATTATCTGTAATGATGATATTTTGCGTGAATTAAGACTATCGTCTATATAGAACGATATATCTAACTTGATATTCTTATAAACTAGCTACGGACTTAGTGAATCATCGCAATGTTAGCTGAATATCGCTTGTATACACAGTTTTGTGCAATTTAAGTTTTAAAACTGATACCAAAGGAAAAAATAAAAGATTATCAATTTCTAAATTTTCCTCCGTAGTAAGTGATGTAGCGGTATAGATGAGATATCAAATGTTTCGTTTGCCTGTAAGTAGTGAGGAATTTAAAAGAGACAAGTTTCATATCAAAACATTCTGCATCGGCATTGTCGTGCATACTGAAAAGCACGTGTTTTACGTACGTATTTTGTTTTTTTTTCAATTTTGTCTTTTAATTTTTAAATGTCACAGCCTCGATCAATTTAGACAAAGTGTTTGGTTTTACTTATTCGTGTGTGGTCAATCCCCCGCGTAGTTAAATAGAGTAAATCAAGAGAACTTTTTTTCAAGCCAGGACATACTATTACATGTACTTAAAACTTAAGCTAGCAATGTCTAATGCTAATAATCGTTGACAATGTAGAGTCACTAGTTATAACTTCCCTCACATTACTTTACATTTAGACAGAATCAGGAGCATTCAGGCGCTCTGGATTTAAGATTCTTTAAAAGTTTAATAACTTTTAATACATACAATTATGTAATTTTCTTATGTTCAAGGGTCTATTAATAACGATCTCAATTCTGTTTTTCGTCTCTCGATGAATTAAGCTTTTGTCAAGCATTTAATCTTACCTTTAGTCTCACCTTAATTTATATCCATTTATTAAAATCAATCTTAGGAATAAATCTTTCGTCATTACAGTTTCTCCTAAAATAATATAATGCAATACTAAGCATCAATTCAAAAAAGCACGCGACACATCTTAATCAAATTGACATTCTAATTATAACGTTTTGATAAATATAATTATAGTCCCTCTAGAAACCTCCACCTTAGGCCTTGACTTGATCTATAAATATAAGATACATTTTTGCTGCTAAGCAGATCGTTGATAGACTCTGTTAGAATTTTAACAGTTTATCAGACATGGACGATTTGTACTTTTGAAAACTGTATTTTAGGAAGTTGTCTGTTGTCGAAGAGCGTATGTTGACCTTTACAAGGTCTTTTTTTATTAATGGTTTGTCTATGTTGTCGAGTTGCTGTGTTATTAGCGTATCATCTACATTCTTTTTGTATTCATACATGCTCACACTAAGAAACTATCGGATATAAGAATATAGTTTAAAAGGAATATAATTTCTTATTGCTTACCCTTCCGGAACCGGAGCACCTAAGCTCACTCCCGGTTTTTTTGCTGGGATTCCTGTTGTTCAATCTTTAGTTTTCTAAGTTGTGTTTTGTATACTGTTGTTTGTGTTTTGGTCGTTTTTCGTTTTGACCATGGCATAGTCAGTTCGTTTTTTACTTATGATTTTCGTTACCCCTGTGGTTTCTTTCGTCTCTCTTCTATTAAAAGAATGTTCTTACCTTCTGCCTGGTCTTTTAAGCGCGAGTGTTTGTAGTTCTGTCAGTCCGTCTGTGTTTGCACAAAGGACAGTCGCCAACGTTACTTTTCTTATCTCTTGAAGTTGATCTACAAAGAATCACTATTAAAAGTAAATGGTTTCGTTCAAAAAAGGAGTAAAACGATATTGATTAAACAACATGAGGTTGTCTATTCTTTTGAACTCGATTTTACACTTCAATCGCGCATTTTGTAAATCATATCGATTAAAGATATAGTAGATAATAATTTAGACCATTTCCTTTTTCACCATATTTGTACAAGTTAAAATTATATCATTAGGTAAAGTGAGTTCATACATGTCATGATTCGGACGAAATGAATCTTAGGAACACATTTTAATTTACTTTTGTTCATTGATATGGTTCTGGTTAATTCCGGAAACAGGTGACTTTCATGTTACCAGTTAAGATAAATTAAGATTAATTCATAGCATGGACTGTCACATTCAAATGTGTAATAGTCGATTATTGTTTGTGAGTTTTCCAAAGATATATGCAATATCCTACATAAAACAATAGAGTAAATCAACCAGACAGAAAACTAAGCTCTTAACAACAAGGACGTCATTAAAACTCAATTCAGTATCAGAAGTCCCGGATGGGTAAGCATTTCTTTTAAAAACCTGTCCACGGTGATTTAATTGAGTAAATTAAGATGCTCTTGTACATAGCCACTTAAATAGGTTTACCAAGATCTTTATGCGACATGCCAGTACACTATGGAAAGGTAGATCTGTTTTAGTAAAATTGCCACTAGTAAGATGTAAAGATAATTTGAACATACTTCAATACAAACCTTCCCTAAATCCCTCTGGATACGGTCGCTCGTACCAAAATCTATCGCCAAGCTTCAGATTCTGAAACTGTTTCCCCAAAATACAGGCAAAAGTTGGACCAAGGTAAGATTGGTCTCCTCTTCCAGTTTTCATTCGTCTTTCTAATATGCCTCCAACATAGAGGTCGATATCATGAACACTCCTAAAATTCAGTAAAAGTCATATTGTCATCGAAAAGGAAGTTTTTTGTTTGTTAAGTGCACCATGAAAAAATATTCAAATTTGATTAAAAAAACAATGAATTAATTAGTAATGTTAACAATTAATTGGTTAAACAACGAAAAATTATAGGAAAAAATAAAAATAATTTAAATTTTTTTTATAATTTTTTGTAGTTTTTTTTGAAGACATAACAATAAGTTTTACAATTATGATTCTTGTTGCTATGTTTCTATAATTTAAAAAAAATCTACTAAAATTTTTATATATATTTACAAATAACTTCAAGGCTTTCAGGATTGAATTTATAAAAAAAAAATGACTCATGAGGACCACCCTTTTTTTCAACGACCATTACCAAATAATCCTATCATGTTGGAAAACTGAATTCATGAAAATGACGCATTAAGTATATATGCCATTTTTCATTGAACTATCGTCTTTTTATGTTACATTTTTCATATTTTCCTTCCAATACGTGATAACTGAGAGTCTGAAGTGTGGCCTTTGTTCCTTTTTTCTGTTACATTTTAGATCATTTTCCTATATTCTTTATTCATTTGCCTATTGTTCCGCGCCTGTTTACGGAGTATATATCTCCCAGTTGATACGATATTCAAGGGCTTGTAATTCCTATCGTTATTTCCTTGTACTTAAACGAGCAACACAACGGGTGCCACAGGCGGAGCAGGATCTGCTTACCCTTCATGAGCACTTGGGATCACCCCCCAGATTTTGGTGGGGTTCGTGTTGCTCAGTCTTTGTTTTCTGTGTTGTGTTTTGTGTACTGTTGCTTGTCTGTTGGTCTTTTTCTTTGTTAGCCATGGCATTGTCAGTTTATTTTCAACTTATGCGTTTGAATGTCCCTTTGGTATCTTTCGCCTCTCTTTTTGTTCCCTATTCTAAATAATTTCATCCTATTTTTCTCTATTTTTTAATTTTTTTACTCTTTATTCTGCAAACTACGCCCATACTCGCATACCTATCGTTTAATCGATTAACCAGTCATACAGTGATTATTCGAGTAGCCGGTCAAAATGCAGTGTGTCTTCATAGCTCATATATAATTACTTCTTTCCCATTAGCAGACAGATCCATTATTGATTGTTTAAGGTATTAGATAATAGAATGGTGCCATAATACTAGTTTGTCAAATACAATAACAACGTTTTCATTCAAATGCAACTGTCAAATAATCAGCAATTCATTATTTTTTCAATTGTCATCATATTTCTTTCCCTTTTTTTATTCCATATACTTACTTGTATAGCTGACGCAATTTCCCTTTGTTCAGTAAATCTGTCAGTGAGCCCCAATCTCCATCCGACACAGGAACAGAAAGATCACAATACTCCCGCCATGCTGTATAGGATGGTAATCCATGATCACGTCCTCGTTGTATGTTTAAACTTGTCAAATCTAACAGCCCATTAAATAAATGATTTCTAATTGCACCCTCGAATTCTCTGAAAAATTAACATTGACTTTGAATTTAAAATAAGAAGGTGTGGTATGATTGCCAATTCTCCACCACTGGGAGGCAAAATGAGGTAGAAGTTTTTAACTATATGCCACCTTACGGTCTTCAACAAGAGCAAAACCCATACCACAGAGCATTTGTGTAGTATACATGATAGTGTTATTATGGTACTGTTTTCATACGTGTTGATTCAGTACTCGCTATGAATATCAAAAAACATATTTTCATGTACAAAGAGAGTACTACACTCCTTTCATATGTATTGCCTATATATATGAAAAAAAAACAAGGGTGAGTAAAAGGTTTGATCGGTTGACATCTGTACAAGACAAAACTCGATCGTTCTGCATTTTCATGTATTCGAAAATTAATCCACCTTGTATGGTTTAAAAAAAATGTCTTACTGAAGAGAAGGTACTTTTCTGTATAAAATCTCTCTTTATAAAAATTAAGGAGATGGTGTACAAAAATGTATAATGATTGCCAATTATACAACCATCCACTAAGAGACCAAAGAATGAGGATGTAATACCTTTATGTTCACTGAAAAGTGTGTCGACCGGGCTGAGGAAAAGGATTTCGACTGCCATGGAAAATGAGGATATGTTGGATAGTGATATACGTTTTGACTTCCAATAGTCACTTACGGAGCCCTCAAAGAGTTTTTGAAAGGTTTGTATTAAAGCGTGGCAAACTCCCTTCGAGACAAACGGATTTTTTCCCAATTTCGACCAGACGTGCCTGTGTATTTATACATCCTGCACAGTAAAACGAACGTCCCCCTTAAACATGAATTTTACTACCGCAAGTTTAAGAAGACCATATATCGACACTCAAGTAGACCCTTGGAGTTTATAGATCCCTCAATGAGTAAGAAATAAAAACATCACTTTATAAATTTCATGCGTCTGAAGCGCTTTTCTGGATTTACCTTCCTCAGGAACGCCCAAAGCCGAATATTTAAAAGCCAAGGATGTATTAGAACCGAAACAGTTCGAAAGAGCTATATAATAAAAAAGGACCTAAAATAATAACCAAATCCATCTAAGGTCAACTTTGCCTGAGGAAGTTGAAACCTTAGTTTCTTTATAATTTCAAAATTTACAAACGGACAATTTTAGAAAGGTTTGTTATAAATCATGACAATGTGTCGTAATTTCTAGAAATCTATCCATACAAATACAGCTGATATTTAAAGACACCAAACAGTTATTGTCTATACATCCATGTTATTTGACTTCTAGTTGATAGTTGTCTCATTGGCAATCATATCACATCTTATTATTTCTATATCAAACAGCTCTTATAGTTTTTTAATTAATTGTTCCTTATTGATGAAATAACACATTTTATTTGATCTTAATGTATCAACAGCTTCTGTGTCTCGACCCATTGCATTGGAAAACAATAGGTAAAGGCACGCCTATATTGATACATGTAAATTTAATTCGCTCGCTTCAAAATTCCTGATAAACGAATGAAAATAAATGCAGAAAACACATTAAAAGCTAACAAATTGTTATTGTTGGCATTTGTATTTGTATAGAACATTGGAAGTAGGTTTTTGATGAAGACATAATCTTTCAATCAGTTTAATTGAGGTCTGGAGCTTGCATGTCAGTAACTGCTAATAGTCCTTTGTTAATTTAGTTTATCATTGTCATTTTGCTTAGTTCCTTCTGTTACCTTTTATAACATCGGATGCGGACTTCTTTTAAACTGAGTTTCTAACATTGGATGCGGACTTCTTTTAAACTGAGTTTCACTGTGCGTATTGCTGTGTGTTTGTTTATTCTACTCTGGCTAGAGGTATAGGGGGAAGGTTGAGATCTCACAAAACATGTTTAACCCCGCCGCACGTTTTGCGCCTGTCCTGAGTCAAGAACCTCTGGCCTTTGTTAGTCTTGTATGTTTTTTTAATTTTGGTTCATTTATATGTTTCGGAGTTTAGTGTGACGTCCATTTTCGCTGAACTCGTATACATTTTGTTTAGGGGCCAGCTGAAGCCCGCCTCTGGGTGCGGAATTTTACTCGCTGTGTTGGTGGCCTTCGGCTGTTTTCTGTTGATTAGTCGGGTTGTTGTCTCAATGACACATTCCCGTTTCCATTCTCAATTTTACTTAAACATTGAAGACTTTATCACTTTAATAGGCCACTAGTCTTAATTCCACATGTTAAGATAATCGGTAAGACAAATTCGTGAGGTAATATCAGATGATTTACCTGTCTGCAGCTCTTGTCGGAGTGGTTGTCATATATCTAACCAAATCTAATATCTTAGATCCTGCTTTGTTTACCAATAAGTGTGGATTTTTGAGGGTAGACTGCATCTCTGTATCAGATGACGTGGTATTGTAGTCATTTGACAAGTATGCCATTTCATGTGGAATCTAACAATAAACGATATAGGGATCATCAAGAAAGTAAAATATTTATAAGTAAGCCATTAATATAATATTTCATAATACATAACACGGGGAATAACCGGTCAAAACGTAAATGGAACCTGTTAGCGAGTTCTATGTTTGTGGCAATTTATTGTTTCTTTGCGCCAGAATTAATTTGCTCCAATGAAACGTTTGTGGAAAAAAATCTTCCTGATTGCATTTATGAATTGAGCTTGACATAAAACAATTAATTTGTGCCAATTTAAAATATATATGAATATAAATTATAAACTATAGTAATCTAGATGATAAAAATGGACTTCTATTCTACTTTATTGTTTGGACTTGTTGGCACAACCAGACAATCCAATACGCAGTTAAAGCCATTTTTGTTTATTGCAAAACATGATTAACATGCTTAAACAGTATACGAATACACTATATAAACTAGATCAGTCAATTATGAAGGGTTGACATTTATTACAGCTGAACGTTTGAATAAATTTTCTAGTTAATATAAGTTAAGCGGAGTAAGCAATCTCGGTTTTTGTGCCAAAACCTGTGTAGTCTTTTATAGTGATTAAGATCATAACATAATGTTGACAGCTGTACCCCAATTTTGACATTTTTTACCTATTTTGTCTGTTTATTTTGCTCACACATTCAATTTTTTGTCAATATGATGAAATTCTATGCGACTGTCATACAAGTGAGAGGTTTAGCAAGCTGTAAAACCAGGCTTATGTTTTCTACATAAGGAAATGTCTGTACCAAGTCAGTAATGTGACAGTTGTTTTCCATTCGTTTGATGAGTTTGAACTTTTGATTTTGCCATTTGATAAGAAACTTTCCATTCGAATTTTCCTTGGAGTTCGGTATTTTTGTTTTTTTTTTACTTTTTAGATAGGCGTCGTAGATTTTTATATGTGTAGATGTTTTTCAATTTTAGGTTTTTTTTTCAAAGGAAAAATAGTCACAATTTAACTGTAGAAATATTATTTAGCCAACGTGTTAGATATCCTTATAATAATTTGCAAATTTGGTCATCAAAACATCAAAACTAAAATAACTATATGAATTAATTGTTTTAGTGAATGTTTGAAAAATTTTGTGTCTATTCAATAAAAACAATTTAGAAATCGATCGTTTATCTTCTCTTGCCTTTACAATCTTTTGTAAAATTTCCACATATTGCTTAAGATGCAGTTTTTTCAGAACAAATAAAAAAGTTAGTGTGTATTTTCAATGAAGTGACCCTTTAACCTGTGTATGACCAAAGCGTAGCGCCGCTGTTGCCACCCCAACTCTTGTTCCAGGATGTATATCCTTGTTGTAGTCTTCTGAGTATCCTTCAGATAATAGACGTAGACCATACTTATCGATAATTTCGTCACCAAACAGATCTGAAAACAGGTCTTTATTAGTAATGACAGAGACATATAATACAATTGTATTATATGTCTCTGGTAATGATGATACAACATGCAAAAAATATGTAAAAAATGAATGTGTTTTCCCAGGGACTTTCTATACTAACGGGACTCGTCTCTATTGATTTTAATTAAATAACTCCACCCCTACAAATCAATTGGTAGCTCCCTAAGCCAATGAATTTAATATATATCGCCTATTGTCACGTTATTATTAAATGATTCAATTGAAACTTAACCACCCTCTTTGTTTTACCAAATAATGTGTATTTCTTAAATCTCATATTTTAGAAACATGTTTTCTGTATCAAGAACAAACATTTTATTCGCTTTTCTCTCCTCCTTTACACTTTGTATAAAATAAAGGCTTTTTACGTTTTGTTTTAATAATGAGTTGTTAAATTATATAAATATCGTCAGTATGAGATTGAATGCTTCTACATTTTTATACAATTTTGACTTTCAAATCTTCAGGTTGGTAAATCCGGAAAAGCAATTTCGGACGAACGGAAATTATAAAGTGTTATTTTCGATTAATCATTCTGTTTTTTAACTTACTTGCAAAATATTCATTATAGGTTATATGTTGTATTATAGCACCAACAATCTTTCTGGCCTCGTTGTATAGCTGATCCTCTGTCCAAGAGGGTTGGACATTTTTCAGCTCATCAACGATGCGGTTATGTTCTCTAACAAAAAGCAAATGAAGATGTCCCAATCCAGGCTGAACGTTCACTCTTATATCACCTATACCAAAACAATTAAATGACAGATGATGATACATGGTAACAGTTGTATAATGATACAGGATAACAGTTGTATAATGATACAGGGTAACAGTTGTATATGATACAGGGTAACAGTTGTATAGACACTTATTGTGAAATTGTTGTGAAAACATATTGTATAGATACGTTACTAGTGTTGTCTAGTGACCTCCAGAAGTCTTTTGAAGTTCTCTCTATCTACTGTTCCGTTGACGTACCAATACAATTATATGATTGATGATGATACAGGGTAACAGTTGTATAGACACTTATTGTATAATTGTTGTAGAGACATATTTTCTTTTTAGGCATACATGTATGTAAACAGTTGTTCATATGACGTGTTCACGCTCTTTGATCAGTGTTGACATGGTCACTGACAAGTGCAAGGAATTTTTAAATGCAGAAAAACGATTTTATGGACATATTCTGTCCGCAAATAACAATTTTGCATTCATTTTATGCCCGTGGGCACTTTCTAGTCAGTGACCATATTGATAAATTATTAATAAGGGGATATACTGGTAAAAGTGTTTTAACATATATACCAGGCTAGTTATTAGAGATTTTCAAAGAAGCGTTCGTGGTTCGAGAAATAAAGCAGCAACACAATATCTAAAAGAAACAGTAAACAAAACTCTCGTAGCCATGACATCAATGGTATGTGTACATGTAAACGTTAAATGCATGTATACTTTGATGGTGGTAGACATTTCAACATGTCAAATAAAATAAAACGAAGACCGGACAGTTTTATGAAATATTTTCCATGATATTTAATACCAATACCAGCATTTTGACAATAGTCATCTACGGGATCACTTCCGGTAAGGGTACAGAAAGCTTCCCCAGACGTGTCCTCTGGTAACAGATCTCCACCTGACACAGATTTTACCTTCATTTTTCCTACAAAAACATATTCTAATATTTAATGAGATTAAATCTTATTGGCTGTATTAGAACAGAATGTATTCAAAACCTTCAAAACACATGATAAAAAGACGCTCGAAATAAAAATACTCTGAGGAAGAGACTATTTTCATATTACCGACTTTTGACTCCGGATTATATAATTTGTCGACTGGTTACCTTGGACATCATGGTATCAAGTCAGGTAAGAGCAAGCTAAAGAAGTAAATCCAAGCGTTCAATCGGTACAATTTTGGGGGAAAATTACCTGCTTAACATTTTCTATTTACTACAAAATCATCGGAAAACAGTAAACTTTCCCCTCAAATTACACAGATTATATGTTTGATTTTACTTATTTTGGTTGCTCTTACTTGACCGAGTACCATGATGTCCAAGGTAACCAGTCGACAAATTATATAATCCGGAGTCAAAAGTCGGTAATATGAAAATAGTCTATTGAGACATTTAATCCATTATACTAGTTATACGAAATATGGATGCAACAATACTCTAACGGATAGCCTTTATCTTAAAATGTTTCATTAGTTATTTTAAAATGCAGTCCTATATTTCACAGAAAAATGGAGAAAATACTAAAAGTAATCAGAGATTAGCAGTGTAGGCCAGATACATGTAGTGTTTTAATGCAATTTAGAGTTCTTGTCTCTTGTGCTAAAAGATCCTTTTCCTTTCAACACCATTTAAATCACTTCTTCTACGCACATTGAAGTTGCACCAGAAAGCTATAAATTTTAACATAGACCATCCATTATACTTGAAATTGTGCAGTTATGTATAGAACTTACCACCTGAACCTCTAAGTTGTCTTTCTTCATCTTCTGAGCTTCCATAGACCATACTCCCATCAATGAAGGATGTTATGGCATTCGTTACTTGGTTTCCCGCTTAATTAATAAAAAAATAACAGATTTTTACCGCTGATACGTCAAGTGAATGAATAATTATTATAAAAATTCTTATTATTTTAGTCAAATTATAAGTTATAAGTCCGATATGATTTTAATACCCTATGGGATTATGCCTTTATCCTATGGGAGTTTTAAAAATCCTAAGGAAGATAATAAATTTCTACCGGATTTTTACACTGGTATTGCCGAACAAGGCGAGCAGTATACATAAAAAATTGTTTTGTTTTACCTATCCCAAGATGTATATTATTGCCTAGTTTGAAGATTCTACCTTTAAAAAATTTGGTTCCAACTTGCACTTATGAGAAATGCAAATTTATCCGAGAAACTGTTAAGAATTTCGGGTTTTTTTATTTAAACATTTAAAAGATAAATTTCATCTTTTTTAATGTGGATTATTTTTTTATGGTACGATTTCCAAGCTTACAACTCGTGTTTCTGGAACAACAATCATCAGGTACGCAAACAAAGACCTCATAAATTTGGTGCGTCCGAAGAAATGTATATTTGAAAACATTATGTATACGATAAAATATTTTCAGAATTGTTTAATGCTTTGATTACAGAAATATCAAAGGAAATACAAAATATTCGAGAGAAAAAATTGAAAAAAATGTTTAAATCTTATATCTTTAGAGTTGTATACCTTGAGTTACAACCAAACCAAAGAATATGCTCAAACATTTACCATTTAATTGAATGTCTGGTGATGGAGCTGATCTAACAAACTCCATACAACTGATATCTAGATCTTCATCTGGTGACATTTCTATAGCCAAACACTCATCCCTATTATGATAATAAAATCTTATAGAAATTATTGTTTACATTTATAAATAAATATACTATTAGATACCTTTTACGATATTACCATATTAGCAACATTATTTATGTATATCATTTCTCAATTTCAGATTAAGCAGAAGATATGGACAACCTGGTTCTGATAAATAAAAAATGCATGTGCATAAAATATATTTATTTATAAAGCATACCAGACAACCAATAGATGTTACTGATTCCAATGACAAAGGCAGACTTATCCAATATATACAAGATAAGAGGGGATAGTATAAAAAAAGTACAAGCGAACTGTATCTATGCAGAAGTATTCATGAGGGAACGTCTACATTGTATGTATTATTTTCCACGTTCATTTTCCACGTATTTAGTTGATAAAAAAAATTGATAAAGTGGTTGAAAATATATCATTTTCTTTGTGGATTGTTTAAGTGATGGTTCTAACAAAGACATTTGTCCCCGTGATGCTACTGGCACTTTTCCATGTGGGTAAACCTTAAAGAAGAAATTTGAGAACACTTAAATCTGTTATGTTTAAAGTCGTCAATAGCTTTAACAATTGAAAACAACACCAAAGATACTAATTCAGTATTCAAATTTCCCGAAATACACGAAAATACCATAAAAATTGTAAAATATTTGTATATACATTACAACGTTTCCTGATCTTAGACATCTTTTACGAATTTATTTTTGTATTTTTCTTTTCATATATAATGTTAAACGTCTGGCTATCAATATATTAACAATATCTAAGAACGGGAATAATATAGCGGGTAAAGCAAAGTTAATGGCCCAACTTTGCAGTATAAGTGGTTCATACAAATAAATTGTTTACCTTGAAATTGGTATAGAATTGTCTTCACAACACCGAATATCCTCTCCATGCTTCTCTGCAACAATAACAGGAAAACATCAAACAAATGCCACCTGAATACTATGTTTTTCCATTGCTTCTACTATAACTTTTGTTTAAAGAGAGAGTCAAAGGTCTATGTTATTTTATGAATTATTCATTACCGATAACTATTACAACTAACATAATCTTGCATTTGGAAGTTGATTCTATTTCACTGTCAACATATACAGTACTTTAACAATATTTTCAGCAACTGTCAGGATTTTTTTTGCACGATATTATAAGGAATAGTTTTGATGTTGTTGTTTATATTAGTTCTAAAACTGTACCTGTTTTAATGCACCAGATGCGCAGATTTACACAATTAATATCTAGATCCTCATTTGGATATTTTTTGGGTTTCTTTGACTGTGATATATGGGATCCCGCAATAAATTGTCCATTAAATAGACTGTTCGATTTAGATATCCGTTATAAGAAGAAAGATCGAGATTCTCTTCTCTCAAGTCTATACCACAGGAGAAAGGAAAGATTTATGCTGGGTTTTTTTTCTGAATCCTCTCGATTGGTAAGGGATTTAAGGTATATATGCGATTCAGTATGCATTGGTTATTCCTAACTCTTTTGAAAAAGTATTCATTTAGGGAATAAAGCAGAAGAAAACAGTATTGTTTGAGGTTTAATCAGCGGAAACTACACATTATTTCAACATCCTGCAAATTAGAAGTGTATAAACCTTCTCCGCATTCTGTATGTGCCTGTCTCAACTCAGGAGCCTGTTATTCATTTCTTGTAGTTTGGTTGCTGTCTGTCTTTTCTCGTTTTAATTGTTTCACATTTTGGCATGTCAGGGCCTTTTATAGCTTACAATACGGTATGCGTTTTGCTCATTGTTGAAGTCTGTACGGTGATTTTTAGTTGTTAAAATACGCGTCATTTGGTCTCTTGTCGATAGTTGTCTAATTGTATCATACATTCAACATCTCCTTAGTTTTATTTCTAAAAAGTACTGATTTAACTTAGTAAAAATAACGGATTGATGCCGCGTATTCTTAGAACAATTTGATTCGACTTTGAAGGAATGACCAATCAACATTGATCAACACAGATAATGTGTCTGGTGACTATGACTCGCGGTTTGCTACTCTTTGTCCAACAACAGCTTGTATCTATGATTTTTCATAACTTGAAAAGTAAGTCCTGAAGGTTTATATCTTCTTACATATTTTGAAAATACGTATGAAAATTGACGATTTCAAGAAAAAGATTTAGTGTGGGCCTTATAACTATATCGTGTCAACTTAAATCCATCTCAGTGTCCTATATTTACTGTAGCTTGGAATCACTGTCGAACAGTGAGCCAGGATTCTAGGCTATATTTACTGTAGCCTGGCATCCTGGCCAAACCTCCTCTAGGCGTCAGTATGTCTACTGTCGAACAGTGAGTCAGGATCCCAGGCTATATTTACTAATCATGAAAGACAGAAGTATTAGTCCGAATAGAGTAGTGAACATTCGATTTTTTCCCCAAACAAAGAATTAAAAAAAGAGATTAAAAACTCCGACTATGCATGCTAGCTTCACACGCATGTTCACATGTTCACATACTTTAATTCATGCCGATAGTTGAAGAAGAAACACTTAAAAAGCAGGTCTCCTAATTAAGTAATTATAACAGAAAAATCCTATTTCTCGTATCAAACATAAACTAAAAGAACTAGCCAAGGAATTTGTTTTTGTCCCGGCTGATAAAGCTGCTAGTAATATCATTATAGTTTGACGTAAATTTTACATTGAGGTTCTGCAAAAGGAAATCACGAATTCGCCAACTTTCCAACTGACTTCATTTTCAGAAAACGATATATGTAACAAACATAAACTATTAGCTACTTCTTTACAAGCAGAACCAAATACAATGAAATAGTGGAATTAACTACTTTTGGAGTGTCAAAAACTCGTTGGAAGTACTTGATAAATTGCATGCATATATTGGTGATTTTGAATCTGTTCAAAGTTTAGATTTTTCTACCCTATATACCACTTTGCCTCATATTCTTATTAAGAAAAAATTCACACACCTAATTAAATGGGCATTTAAAAAGTCGGAATGCGAATACATATGTTCAAACTCTTTTAGGTCATTTTTAGTAGCAACAAACAAAAGAGCTATGTCAATTAGACATGCTTTGATACTATATCTGCCCTTGAATTTTTACTTGATAACATTTTTGTTCGCTTTGGAGATTCCGTATATCGTCAAGTTATCGGAATTCCAATGGGGACTAACTGTGCACCACTTATTGCGGACCTGTTTTTGTATAATTATGAGTTACAATTTATGACTAAAATCAACAAAGACCCATCGAAACAACATCTGATACAAAAATTTAACAATACTTTTAGATATTTGGATGATATATTGGCTCTCAATAATGACGACTTCAGTATGTATACTAAAGAAATTTATCCTGTTGAACTTACTTTAGATAAAGCTAATACTAACAATGACCACTGCCCTTTCCTCGGTCTTGATATCTATATCATTAACGGGAAGCTTGATACAAAAATTTATGATAAAAGAGATGATTTTTCATTTCCTATCGTTAATTATCCATTTTTAGATGGTGACGTTCCCTTGTCACCATCTTATGGTGTTTATATATCTCAACTTGTACGATTCGCTCGTGTATGTAACAACGTATTAGATTTTAGCGAGAGAAATTTATGTATTACTGAAAAATTATTACACCAGGGTTTTCGATATCATAAACTAGTCAAAACATTTACTAAATTTTATCATCGGTATAAGACTCATTCGTAAATATAACTCAACATGCAGACATCTTATACGTTCGGGTATTTCACATCCAATCTTTTATGGTAATATTCTTTACAAAGCACAAAAATGTCAGTATTCACCTCATAAGCTAACAAAACCTTTAAACAGACTTATTAAGAAGGGATATAGTTACGATACTGTTGTCAGGTCATTAAAGATTGCATATTTTGGCTTGAATATTGATTCACTTATAGGGTCTTTGCATCGGAATTAAACATATTTATTCTAAAACCAGTTGTTGGCATGACACGGGTTATGTTCTTCTCATATATTTTATGATGGTATAATACTAAAACCCCTAACAGGTGGGATTGTGCCTGATATTCATATGATGAAGACATAATCTTCCAATCAGTTTAATTGAGGTCTGGAGCTGGCATGTCAGTAACTGCTAGTAGTCTGTTGTTATTTATGTATTATTGTCATTTTGTTTATTTTCTTTTGTTTCCTATTCTGACATCGGACTCGGACTTCTCTTAAACTGAGTTTTACTGTGCGTACTGTTGTACGTTTGTTTTTTCTACATTGGCTAGAGGTATAGGGGGAGGGTTGAGATCTCAAAAAACATGTTTAACCCCGCCGCATTTTTGCGCCTGTCCCAAGTCAGGAGCCTCTGGCCTTTGTTAGTCTTGTATCATTTTTAATTTTAGTTTCTTGTATATAATTTGGAGTTAAGTATGACTCACTGAACTAGTATACATATTTGTTTAGGGGCCAGCTGAAGGACGCCTCCGGGTGCGGGAGTTTCTCGCTGCATTGAAGACCCATTGGTGGCCTTCGGCTGTTGTCTGCTCTATGGTCGGGTTGTTGTCTCTTTGACACATTCCCCATTTCCATTCTCAATTTTATGTTATATATTTTATATGAAGTTTCCTGTGCTATTAAGAGAACTGGTGGTATTTTTTTTTAAAAGAGAGTTTACGAGCCTCTCAGATTCGTTTCTGTCCTTTTTATTCAATGTAGTCTACGGTCAGTACTTTGTCCTGGTTCGTTTTAATTCAAGTTAAATAGTTTGGTTTAATGTAGATATTTATTATAAAGATCAGATCAACCGTCATAATTTTGAACAAAGTTTATATTTTTTTTAACTTTGTTACCATATACATATTTAAATAAATATGATAAACATTTACCGGCAAATGTAGGTGTGAGGACAATATCATGGTCCAGAAACTGTCCCCAATTTAGACTCATCAAACTGTTAAATCCCTCTGCTCTTGATACTTTCTTCCCATTGGTTATTTTGAACACACTATTGCTGATTGTTCTCGGACTTGTAAGGGTTGAGGCTCCATCCACACTTATCCGGGGTGTATTAACTATACAAAGATAAAACAGAAAATTATTAGATGATGTGTTACCGACTTCATTGTCTACTAAAAAATACATGCATGAAACAATATTTAAGTTGTCAACCTATATTTTTGTTCCATCTAACAGAAACTTTGTTATAAACAATGCCATAATATCAGTTCCTGTTGGAACACGTATGGTATATCCTTTATTCCGTAAGGAACATATAATTATGTTACACAATATTTCTTCCACTTGGAACTTATATATTATGAAGCAACTTCTATTTCATGACAAAGTGATGGATAATATAATTAACTGAAATGACCATTTAACTTATGATAAATTATCAGGGGCGGATCCAGGATTTTGGAAAGGGGGGGGGGGGCGTAATAATAAAGTTCGCCGTTCGGAGCGAGGCGAAAAATTTTTTGGACCTTTTTTTGGCTAAAAAACATAGAATAAGTGTAAAATGCATATTATAGTTAAAGTGTAGGGTACGGACATTTTTGGTGCCGTATTCTCTCCATTAACTGTCTATTATAAAATGATTGGATGGATCCAAAGCTATATGTGTACTAATTAATATATTTGATGTGGGATTTGTCAGTAAAAAATGGACATGGAAAATTCTCGTTTGTTGTATGGTTAGTTAGCATAACCTCACAGATTTCTTGTTGTAAAACAAGATATACGGCTATTCAACGAAATTTACAATACAAAGAAAGACAAACAAGCAATTTTTATCCAAATGTTTGGTTGAAATGTTTCAACCAACAAGGGAAGTGAGGGGTTCCAAATCAACCAAAGGCTACGAATGAGTCGGAAATGACAATGAAGTTGTGAATGACGGTCGACACATGGAGACAATGATATAGGCCACACCCAGCAGGCAGGTTGCAGTCGGGCCTTGAAAAAAGTATTCAGTATATCAGTTCGGCGAAACAGACATTCCGGTCAGATATGGGATTCACATGCATCCCCCCAAAAAAAATTTCGCCCGTTTTTTATTCATCATGTTCATTTAATGCTAAATAATTTTGTTGAAAATATTTTTTTCTGATAGCAAAAAAGTAGACAAGATTATTGTTTTCAATCCAGATACGGCCAGAATTTTTGTTTAAGGCAAAAATCAGGGTCAGAATTTTTTCTCTAAAATATCTGACTGCCCCCTCAAATCAAATGGTCCGTACCTTAGACTTTAAATCTATATCTAGAGCTTACTGATTGGGGATCACTATTCAGCAATGTTATTAATAGGCTGGGGCGTGTGGGGTCAGTAAACATGTTTTCGTAGGTAAATAATATTGCTGTGGAACTTTTTTTTCATCAGAGTGTAATAGAGTATTACTTTCTGTTCGGTGGAATTGTGAAAGAGAAGTCAATACGTTCTTGTTCAATACTTTGTCGCTTTGAAGGCGTCATGCTTGTCATCCTCAGCCTAAGCAATGTGTTACTGTAATTTGAATTTCAAAATGACTGAGTGACGTTTTTTTCGACGTACAGGTCAACTCCACCGTAGCGAATCACATGACTGACATAATCAATAATATATTACAGTAAATACGAGCGACAAATATCTTTATAAGTAAAGAATTGTCGCATAAAATTTAAATACACGGGAAATGGCAAAGTTCGCGAAGTCTAGTCTGATAAATCATTTTACAAAAAAAAAAAAAAAAAAAAAAGTGCAAGCAAAAGGGGGGGGGGGGCGTACGCCCTCTACGCCCCCCTCTGGATCCGCCTCTGATTATTGTGATAATAATGCATGAATTATTGAAAATCTCATGTCATAATGATTTGGTAAACATATAATTTCGCCATAATCCCCACGAAAGACAATGGCGGATCCAAAAATGTTCATAAGGGGGAGGGGGGACACTGACTACCATAAGAGGGGCCCCGCTTAGTCATCTGTAGTGATTTGCCCCCCCCCCCCTAAATCCGCCTCTGAAAGATGCCTTCACTCTTGCTTTAAATCATTTTAGTGTCTACAAAAATAAATGTATAGTTGCCATCCTGTGTTACAAGCTGTACGTCAAGCTGTACGTCAAGTCTGTTAGCGGACAGCTCATTTTACAAAAAATGTTTAATCCATCAAAATCTTTTTAAGTCATGGCGTTGACGGTTTTTATTTGACTTATGATTATTATTGCAATTGTTATGTTCTTTCTTATTTCATATTTTGTTTTAGGTCATTTTCAGAAAAATCTGCAGTTTCCTCTGATTTAATGGAACTTCAAGGTGCACTTTTCCAGGGTACAGTATATAAATATGACGTCACTGTATAGTTACTTCTTTGTTTGGACATTTCATGTAATAGATATCTACCAATTCGCTTTAAAAGCACGTGGGGTATCAACATACAAATCTGGGTACATACGTCTGGCTGGGGTTTAAAAACCACCCCATTCATATATTGATTCTAGCGAAAATCCCTTCCCGTACATATAATTCATAGGAAAACCATAATCAATTCATATATTTCCCAGCTATCAGCTAGACGCACAATCTGTGTATGGCATCGATGTTAATTACATGGAATCATTCATATTAATTACATATAAAGATCAGTACACAGTTCTTACACAGAAAATGAACATGTATGACCCATTGACATATAGTTTGCTACCCATTGACATATATTTTGCTACCCGTTGTTATATAATTTCCGTTAAATTTCAGCCCATAGACATATTTGACATTCCAAAAAAGTGACCCATACCAGCGACACGTCTGTATATACCTTTATATACGGAGAGTCCCTTCCCCTCCCCGAGTGTAAAAGAGAGACGGAAGATACCAAATTGATATTCATACTCATAAGTCGAAGAAAAGCTGAGCAACACGAACCCCACAGGGGTGACCTTGGGTGCTCCGGAAGGGTAAGGAGATTCTGATCTACATTTAACTTAATCTATGGTTCTTATATGATACTGCATACCAGTCAGTATTATTTATATTGTTATATATGTACTCACCACCATCACTGTACACTTCATCTATAAATCTAGGTTGTGAAGTGAATGCTTTACCCCAATAAGGTTTATCCAGATTGTTACACGTGCCATCTATAGTTCTATATTCATTTACAGTACTTAGTTTTTGACATTCATTGGTTGTTGCGCGTTTTGTACTTCTGAAAAAGAATTCAAATTTTAGTTATGAATATAAAGTAAAAATAACACTATTTAATACAAGTATTTTGAATAAATATTGAGTAAACTGTGTTCGATATTACTTGAAGATAATTTCTACCATTTCTGCGCTAGATTGTCTAAACATTATTCCTTGAAACGTTTCGTTGTTTTAGCACATAACCTAGACCCATTATCACAGGCACTTTTCATTGAAAAAAACCTTACCTATATACTTTAATATGTTAAATAAAGATATTTCTCAGAGACAAGTGTCTTTGCTCATTATTCAAAACATGTATTTGACAAATAGTAACCGCGAAACGAATTGAACAAATTTGGCGGAATAGCACATTTCATTACATTTCGTTATTTTATCTATTTGCCCATGAACATAGCCACAATTAGACCCTTTCATGATCATATATAGGCATAGTCGGATACTTGCAGTGGATATATGAGTTTTGCATTTACAAGAAAAGTAAATGACTGTATTGCATATGTCATCATTAACATCTAATATTTTTTACTATTTAATTTCGTTCTAATTTCTCTTTCTATGCTTTGTTTATGACAGGCACAAATTAACACATTTTATATTTATTTGATAGGGGAAAGAAGATAACTACACCAACAACAACCTTTTCCTTCTCCTTGAATCAATTGAAGCACCCGCTAAAATATCATCCCACGCCTCTCGGTAATTTGGATCACCAGACAGCTCTTTCAATGTCTTTCCAGCTCTGAAAATTAATTCCATGAGTCCGTCAGAAAATATACAAGAAAAGGAAAGAAATGAAGTAATCACATTTCATGCAAATCCACATTTATACAGGGGGATTAGTACAAAAAAACTGTTGAAATGTATTACCATTATTCCATAATTTTACTTGCGACCAAACACAGAACCATTTAGATCGCACTCATAACTTTCCTTTTCCTTTTTTCATCTTTCCTAATACAGACTTTTTTGTGACGAATGATAAATTGTGCCTTTGATATGCATTGAATTAATTTTGGCTTACATTTAAAAAAAATATATATATTCAACTTGAGATCCCACTTATTGTTTGTATAAAATGAACATACATTTCGAACATTAATAAAGGGCGAGAGAACAATGTAAATATCTATTGCATTTAGTGACTGACAAAAAAATACTAAGAATGTGTATTGATTTTAGAACTTTATTTGGTTAACCGTTATAAAATATCTGTGTCAGAGATGACCACGGATATGTTCCAATTGTCGTAGTCACATAGCCGTCTTATGGCTTTCTGCAAATCGATTTTTTTATGTGCCATTATCAACACGACGTGTGCTTCCGGTATACATATATAGCAAAATCTGCTAACTCTTCCGGAGCAGCCGAAATTATTATTTTTTGGTGGGGTTTGTGTCGCGTAATGTTTTGTTTGTAGTAAAGTTGTTTTGTTATGACTGTTTGTCTTAATTGTCTCTTTTGTCGTGGTCTTGTTTATCTTTCTTACTGGTTATTCGAATGCTCCCTTTCAATCTTTTGTTCTACTTCAAGTTACTTACAATTTAACAAGAGCTTTTTTAGCACTAAGTAAGATAAAACCCTCTTCCTGTTTTTCAATGGACATCTTGCTGATCTTGAAAAGTCTGTTATTTTTCCGTCTTATCTGATTTCTTCTGTCGATACCTATATATAATCAAAATGTGGTTGTGCTAGAACAAAACCAAAATCTCATAATCCACCAGCATGGGACATTTGCAGGTACAACATAACGTATATAAAAGTTGTTTCAAAAAGTAACAACATCAAAACAGCACATGTGACAATCTAAATTACTTTTATTTTTTTTATATCATAAGCAATGGAGTAGAACCTCATTTAACAAGATTACTATAGAGAAAAAATATACCAAACCAAAAACATGTTACAATAACGTATCTGCAACGCTGCTCGCTATTTAATTTATCGAGACAAACTGTTGTTCTTAAATATTACCAGAACACCTGAAAAACTTGAATACTTATTGTTTTAAAAGTATATCATACATTTTTTTCGATGTTTTTGTGGGATAGAATTCAAGAAAAACAAACATACTTTTAAAGAGTCTTAGATCCTATTCGAAGAACAAGAGCTAATCAATATCTAGAAGACTTGAAAGTTAGGGGTTATCTCTCCTGAAGCGTGTTTAAAAACAAAATAAAAAAACATTGTTTAGGCGATTAGTTTTTATTCTTAAGAGGTCAACTTTAAAAAAATTATAACTAGCACTACGAAAAGATATCGTGTATTAAATAAAATACCTACACGCACTTCATTAAATTAAAAGCAAAGAAACCGTGTTTTAATGCAGTCCTTCATTAAAGTTCTTACAGTTCGGCTTATAGCATGGAGCAAAAATCTTACACCTCAAGTTAAAGACGACCATAGTGTCAGTTATGGTGGGAAAAGATGATCAGGCTTCATCATTTTATCGAGGAACACAGCTGCTGGGTTATATCAACCAACTGTAAACTATACCGGGCGAAATTGTCCGACTATTTACCCATAAAACAGCAGAAACATTACAAACTTGTAGACAATCAGGGAGTACAGTACATCACGATATTTGTCAGATATCCTTACATGAGATAATGTGAGAATAGGACACTTGATTCGGTTGGCTTGCATGCATTACAACTTCGAAAAACACACTGTTTAAAAGAAAGTAAAGTACTAAAAATAAAAGAACCAACCTCACCAGCTCAAGAATTAATACGGTATGACTGAGAAAATATAATAGTTGTTTGATGTCTGGAAAGAAAAAAATTATCGCAAGAATCCCCCCCCCCCCTCCCCCCCATTATTTACCAATGTTTCTGTAATAAGTTTGCCTTTCTTTAGTTTTTTCAGATTTCTCTAGTCCTTCTTCGATTGCTAACAACACCAGTCTCTTAGCTTTTTTCTTCCTCTCTTTGTTGATTCTTTCTTTCTCTCCTAACAGTGTTTCTAATTTATACAATGATTCCAACTCCTTTTCAGTCAGTTCTATTACATCTTTAGAAGTAAACAAATTTCCAGAGGTCTGTTGACAAATAACCGATGTAACAGTGAATACCAGCACTGCTTGCAGAAATACCATCGTGACTGCAAAATAATGGGTTAAAATGAATAACGAATGAGGAAATTTAATTTAAAGACACAATAAAAGGAGTTGTGGGATATAAATCAACGAGACAAGAAACAAACGCCAAATATATCAAAACTACATAAAAGGTAACATAGATATAAGAAGATGTGGTATAAGTGCCAATGAAACAACTCTCCATCCAAGTCGCAATTTGTAAAAGTAAACCATTATAGGTCAAGGTACGGCCTTCAACACGAAACCTCGGCTCACACCGAACAGCAATCTATAAAGGGCCCCAAAAATGACTAATGTAAAACCATTCAAACAGGAAGACCAACGGTCTAATCTATATTAAAAACGAGAAACGAGAAACACATATGAACCATATCAACAAACGACAACCACTGAACATCAGATTCCTATAGACATTAGTTTATAAACTATATCATCGGGTACTTAATCGTCTCGAATCTATAAAATTTGTAAATAAATTAAATAGAAACTATCTAAATGTGCTATATACCCCTCTCCCCTCTCAAAAAAACCTGAAGAAACTTAATATATGACTATTAGGTCCGAGGACACAGTTAACGTCCTTAGATTTTCGTTGTCTTACAAATATAGTCCCTAGTGTGGACAGGGTATAACTTGCAAATTTTCTTCATACACTTTCCAAATTTAGTTCTTTATATTTTATGCATGAAATATTAAGTAAGGGATTGAAATTACATGTTAAAAAAATTTGGTTGCTGAATCTTTATGTTAAGTAGTGATTTGGTCCAGTTAAAAAATGGTCAAAAACTAGTATGTCTGAAGCTGTCAAACTGAATTTTAGACCCCCTTAACATAGAATTGTCAATATTTTGAGTTAGAGCTGGTAGACTTTTCTATAATTTTGATATTATTTGTCCCAATAGTAGTACACTACACTGTAAAAATCTTTTTGAGATAGAGCAGGTGCGATTTTTTTAATTTGACTTTATTGTCTAAAAGAAATGCACTACGAAATAACTGTGTTCTCGGGCATAAGTTAAATAAATACGAGGTTCCTCAGTTGGGACAGGCACACGACCATGTAGCGGGGCTAGACAAGTTTTTTTTAGATCAAAATAAAAGAACTTATAATATAAACGAGTACAGGAAAAGCAATTAACATTTAAAAAAATGTATAGTAGATGACAAAACTACAAGAACAAACACAAAAAAGTGTTAACCCGTGAAGTATGGAAGAAGATAAACAAGCAACATAAACGCTCTATGAAATCCAGTTATAAACTCTAATTTCGGTTGCTGTGCTTCATAGAGGATGGCAGATCACACAAACACAAACAGTACAGTAAGACACGATCGTGTGCAATCCCCAGTACATTAAGAACATTATAATTGAGTTTCATATACATTTTTTGGATTGCTGTGACAGCTGTTCAGATTAGAAATAAGGAGGTGTGGTATGATTGTCAATGAGATAACTATCCACCAGAAACCAAAGGATGATGTTTACTCCATATCTCCTTGCATCTGTTTTGGAGGGGGAAAAGTGTAGCAAATCATCTTGGTGCGTAAGTTAAGGATGTTTGCTCCTCTTGTTTTTGAATTTTTGCCAGATTTTCGGAATCCTCTGGTTTTATCCATGTATTGCCATTACAAAATTTTGCCCGCTAACCCCTACTTTTCTTTTCATAATTTTATTACATATAGTTTAAAAAGCCATATTTGAAAATCTTATAAAATCCTTGTTATTTTTTCATAGTTTTTGAAACAAAAAGCGGCCAATGTTAAAAGTATGAAAAATCTAGAGAGAATCATTTCCAGCCAAATTTTCAATGACTTATATCTCGGAAACAAGCACACGGACCCTTCATTTTTGTCTGCTTTTTTAGTTCCTTTATTTATATACTAGCATTTTAAAACAGTCTTTTAAAAAGCTTGTTATTTTGAAACAGAGTAGCGAATATCCTTAAGATAGTTGCTGATACATATGTCTAAGAAAATATTGAGAGTTTTTAAAAAACGAGTCAATTTTACAGCTTTCAAATTTCTCTTAAATGCACTCAGTTTTGGTGATTAAGAAAATATTAAAAATGAAATTGTTCTATGATAGACTATACTTTGTGATGATCTAAAGGATGAATATTGATACGGAAGTTTGCTTATGTGAGAGGTCAAACATAGACCTCGTTGAATAAAATTGCAGAAAAAGTGCTATAAATTGAAAAATCTTGTAAATATGAAAACCTACGCGTCACTCAATTTGCGACATTAAAATCTAGGTTTTAAGAAGACCAAGTTAGAGAGGGGGTCAAGTTAAATAACAATAAATTATCTCCTAATTGTTCTGTTTGAAATATAAAAAAAAGATACATTAATAACATGAATTCATAAAATTATAAACAAATGAGACTTTTTGTTTGATTACAAAAAAGTTAAGAATGGTGCCAACCCATAAAAAAGAGATTTATCTTTATAATGATTACCCTGTTTTATTAGTATTGATAAAAAAAATGAATAAAATGACTTACATCTCTGAATGATGAGCTAAGAAGGACTCCTGTGTCTACTGGGTAGATATGGCTAGCGCTTTTTATACCTCTCTGGAAACACAAGCCGACTCAAAACCCTGGTAATATCACGATTTTCAATCTAAAACATTATCAAACTAAAAACCTTGATCAAATAAAAAATGAATAGATTATTCTGAATATCATTACAAAAACTACAAGATTTTAAAATTCAATCGCCAAACATAGATTTAATTAGGCGTGCAAAAAAGTTCATTTATCTGCAGCAAGCTTAAGTTGATAACCAATAATTTCAGAGAGGCATCATTTTAACATATACTGAGTAAATATAATTAAGTAAAAAATAATTTTAATTTTATATTTAAAATTTATTTTTGTAGCTTTGGAAATTTTTTGTTGTTAACTTTTTTTGAATTGTTGCTAAACATTTTTTTATCAGTATATATAATTGAATACTGAAAATTAAACTCATATAACTTAAATTAAATATTGTGCAATTTTAAAATGTGACCCTAATAAATAAATTGTTTTCACTTTCAGTTCTAAAATAAATTTCTAAAGCAAAAACAGAAATGAAAATTCGTGACAAATAAGATATTGATCTAATTTATTTGTAGGAAATTCAAGGATGATCATATCAGCTCAACATCGATTATACAAAATTTGTAATTTCATAAGGCTTTTCTGAATAACCTTCACCCGAAATCATTGGGCGTGAGGGAATCGATAAAAAACGAAGAAGTCTAGATAAACATGTCGCCACATTACCAATATACCAATAAGGATCACCATTTTCGATCAAATTGACCGTCATACTAAAATTTTTTCACAAGAATATTGTCGAATATAGGTCCGTCGACAGAGTGTTAACTCACTATATGCACATTATTGTATATAGCTAAAGTAGTAGTATTAGCTTTCAAAACAGAAAAGCGTGCTTATAACACAGCAACTGGTATATACTTTTTATAAAATATGACCCCTGAATTTATGCCACCGTCAATGGCATTGCTTTAGTCACGATTTACAAATTCCAAGTCTATCATAAAGTGTCCGTATGATACAATACCTCACTGTGGTGTACGGATACGTCAACGAGACAGTAACGTAACGGAAACATTATCAACAGACGTATTTAGGTGTCCGAAGTATTAGTCCTGTTGAAGATATATTTCAATATGACCACCATTTTTTTCAAAAATAATTTTTGATTTTGAGTCGTTTCTCTTTAGTCTGAATAAAAAAATATTTATTGGCTTACCAAGTGTAGTAGCTAGCACATTTTGACACTGCTTTCCAAATCATGTACCATCCCTTAATTCATTGTTTGTTAAGTGGCCATCTTGTTGGAAGATGAGTTCAGCTTTTCATAGTGTTTTTACCGAAATGTGGTCCCGATAATAAGGGGAAAGAATTGTGTGCACTTTTATGGAAAAAAGGATAATTATGATGTATAAATCAATGATACAAAATCACTCACATGGAGATGAAAAACCAAGTGACCGCGCTTTTATTGCTGTTCTTCATCTCAAAATCACAGTGAGTATAAAAATAAGAAGATATGGTATGATTGCCAATAAGACAACTCTCCACAAGAGACCAACATGACACAGAAGAGGTGCCTTCAACAAGAGAAAAAAAATCTCACGTCACATCACTACAATTTTAAGACAGCCAGTTTGAGCAGATTTCTGTGTTAAGCCCCGGTCACAACAGATCGTACGATTTTTTATCGTGGAAGATCTATAAATTAGTTGTCGTGGCACTGTCGTACAAAATGTCAATAAAATATTTCGAGTGGTTACATCAGCTACGACATGTCCACGATGGGTACACGACAGAGAAAAAATAATTGTAATTGTACTTTCGTGGGTTTGTCGCAAGTCGGTCGTGCGACAGTCGTACGACAATCGTGAGTTGTTTTGGCCATTTTTCAGGTTTTCATGTCATGGGATGCGCGTGTTACTGTCGTGTCACTGTCGTGCCACTGTCATACGACTGTCGTGCCACTGTCTTGAAACATGCCAGGCTCCATCCGCATGAATCCAACGAAATCACCGGCAGATTCGCGCTCCAACTCTTGCATCAGTGTATACTATACTGCCCAAACATCAGGCGCCGTTTGATACATGGCCTAACCCACCAACATCGGGCGTTTTGCTGGTTCATATACTGTTCACGGGTTCGAATCAACGCTAACAGGACCATATTTTGCTCTTGTTGGAGTCTGGCAAGGCGCCTATTCAGCAGGACCAAGCGTAATCGTTCTGGTGGAAAAGCCATCCTCTTTAAACGGCAGACGGTATGTTTTCCAAACATTCATTCCCGCCGAATTGTATTCTTCTAAATAAAACAAAAGTAGGTTGCACGACGAACGTACCACTGTCGTACGACAGACAATCAATGTTGTGCGAGCATCGTACGAAATTTGGTATTCGTGAGACAATCGTGCGACTGTATCACGAGTGTCAAGTGCGACAGTCGTAGGATTGTCGTACGACAGTCGTGCAACAGTCGTACGATTGTTTTTATTAAAATGGTTTATGTTGGTACCCACGACAATGTGTTTATCGCACGACTGTGGTAAGACACTCTCACGACAGCCACAAGACAGTGACACGACAAGAAATCGTAGACCAATTTTTGTCCCACGACACACGACAGCGCCACGATGCTCAAAATATCGTGCGACTGTCGTACGACGATCACAAATGACCCGCTATTTGACCAAATTTCATGTCGTGGCGCTGCATAGATGTGTCGTGGGTTCGTTGTGACCAGGGCTTTAGATGACGATTACTCATCAGATTAAAACTATGCATTGAGGATCACAGCAGCTTGTTAAAAGCCAATGACAGTTTGTGTCTGTACCAAGTAAGGCTATCTGGACCCAGTGTTGTTCGTTATTGTTTGTTGCTGTTTGTACGCTTTTCATTTCTTATGAGTGAGTGCATACCTATTATTTAGTATTTGAAGATACAGATACATTTAGTGTTGTCAAAATACATATGTTCGTCCTAACGGAAGTTCATTAGGAAGCTGTGTTATAAACAATAATATAATATATGTTCTTTTGGAACAAATATTTTGTTCCCTTTTTTTCGGTAGGAATAAATAATGTATTATTCTTCCAGTGGAAATAATATTCCTGAACATTTCTTCCGTTAGACACTCAAATTAAAAGAAACTTTTATTTCATGATTGATTGATTGTCGGTTGACAACGTCCAGTGTCAAATATTTCATGCATATTTAAGACGTTCTATTTTATGACAGTTTGTTGTTTTAAATGTTTATGGCATAAAATGAAACAACTTTTATTTGGTGTCTGGGTTCTTCACAGATTTACGAAATTAATTTACTATTTACTATGGTTTAAGGATATGTCGGGTATAAATTAAAAGGTTGATATTTACCCCATATGTACCAAGTGTTAGATTAGTTTTATTGATATTAAAGAAATTTCTTGGTATTCCTAAACGGAAGATCACGATAGCGAAAATGCGCCGATCACGAAGAACGAAAATAACCCATCAGGCCCCTCATATTAGTGTTCTCTTAAAAGTACTATTCTAAATATACAATAAAGTAAGGCGATGTGTTAAAAACAAATCGGTTTCATATAGAAGTAATGATTTTAAAAGTTAAGAACTAATATAAAATTATTAGCTGCGGTATGGTAGCCAATGAGACAACTATCTAACAGATAGAGTCAAAATAACGTGCAATTATAGGTCTTCGTAACGCTTTCAACATTGAGCAAAACTCTTTATAATAATAATAATAATAATAATAGTAATAATAATATCTTTATTTAGAGAGAGTAACTCATTTGGATTACACCAATTTTCAATAAGGCTCTCTTAATATAATAATAATTACATTAAAAATAAACAATACATTTTCAATAATATTGATAAATAAAGATGTAATACAATTTAAATACAATAAACAATTATTATATATGGCATTACAGTACAAATATCATGGTAATGTTAAAAGTACATAGATTTGTAGTTATGTTTAAATTCTAATAATGTGTTTGATTTTTTAATTGAATTAGGAAGAGCATTCCATACTTTTGGTCCATTGTACGAGAAACTAGACTTCTACAACTCTGTTTTTGGTTTTGGAATTATAAAATTATCTGAGGACGAAAATCTCGTATTGTATTTTTGGTTTGCAGAAGCTGTTAAAATAAGACTGGACATATATTCTGGAGCTAAGCCAAGTTTTGCCTTATACATTAGTAATGATTTATGATAATGTATTCTTTGTGTAATCGGCACAATGTTACATTCGTGAAATAATTCGCTTGAAGGTTTGGTGTAATCATGTTCGTCTAAAATTATTCTTGCTGCTCTCTTTTGCAGTTTTAGTAAACTATCTTTCAGCATGTTCAGCTATAAAAGGCATGGACATGACAAAATAAATGAAAAAAATCAATCGAAAAACCAACGGCCTGATTTATGACAAAACATTAAGGGAGCAACTATTTAACATCAAAAAGGGGGGGGGGGGGGTATGTTTTTTTTGTCTGAGTCAGAAATTTTTTTCCCGCAAAACGCGAACATTTTTTGTTTAGTTTTTCGACGTTATCAATCACATTATTTTTTTCAAAATTTAATTTATTTAGGAAAAAACCATAACCCCTTCCCTCCTTTGAAGTTAAATGGTCGTTCCCTAAACGGAAAACAGATATGAAATACAGCTATCAACGACATCCATTAAATTACAGACTCCTAACTTGGGACATGCACACAAATAATGCATGGAATTTTACAACAGCCTTGCTACTTCTTTTAAAGATTTGACATAACTATGATATTTGTTGTCGTCTTCAATTTTTTACTGCCAATTTGAAGTAATTCAACAGTAATTGTATGTCAGATAAAGCTTAGGATTAAAATGCTACAATTTTTATTCTCCTTGATAAAACTGAATACTTGATTATTCCATTATATACTGTCATACAAACAAGAGTACTTTTAATATGTACTGAATAATTGACTTAACCAAAATTGACAAAATAATATTATGTAACGAGATACATTGTAGCTTCTCAGTCGTGCCTACTCTATAAACCTTTATGTCATATCGGTTAAGAATTTGCTTCTCTTATTGGATAACAAGTCTTTATTCTTTAGTAAAA